GAATGTCTTGTTTTCCTTTAGCAGTCATTAGAATCAGCATTTGCTGGCTCTGGCAAGGCAGCTGCCCCATCATCAGCTATGCACTGAGGCTGCATGTCCCCAAGGGAGTTATTAGGGGCTCACATAGGCAGGAAGTGTCTTTACTGCAATGTGCTCATCTAAGCAATAAGCAGTACCTGGTTGGAGGATGGGACGAAGAATGAGAGCCAGGGAGAATGTAAAGGCTCCAATTTGGCACCAAGCAGATAGAACCACACTGTGATTGTGCCAAAAAGATTTACTGCCCAAGGAAGCAGGGGACCTTTGTTGGCTTCTGGGGATCATTTGTTTTCAAGATAATGGGGCCAACCACTATTGTGTCAAGAGTCCTAGAGCACTGGTGTGAGATGTGCTTTCTTCTAATTTGAACCCCAAGAATCTATTGTAGGAAGTATTCTGAAATCCATCAGAGCCAGCGGATCCCTTAAAGATCACCTTGTCCAAGTTCTTTGCTTTATGTAAGGCAAGAAAATCTAAAGTTGTTTTATCCAAAGAGGATGGCTAAGCGAGTCCAGCCACATAACCCAGTTTATAGCCTGGAGTCAGTATTTTTTGCAAGAAAATGAGTGAGATTTGTGAGAGCCACTCAGGGCTGTGAAACCAGCAGAGTTCTCTGTGGAAACTGATCCCTGATCCTCAGCCCACAGCAGGACAGGGCTGACACAGCCTGAAGCTGCTGGAAAGGATGTAAAGTCAAAAACGAGGCACATGTTGAACAAAGGACAGCCAAACCGACAGCTTTAGAAAGAATGAACAGGCAAGAAAGGAAGAAACTCTTCCTGAGTGCAGAGGGATGGACAGAGGACACCACTAATGACAAATATACTACATTAATGACAGTATACTCCTCTGTTTGGCTCTGAAATATGATATGTCTCTTTTATAGCAGAGGGGCCACTCACATCCTTCTGTTTTGTTCTAATGATCTGCATGGTAGATTGGCATCCTCTGAACATGGGCCAGATGGCCCCTGACCCTCTGGCAGGGGAGCCACTTGGGTTTTATCCAAAGTAGAGAGCAGGTGGTTTATAGTGTGCCCTTGGAGGTGGACTGCATCAAGTTAAATTAAGGCTCCACTGGGCAACACTGAGCATCATCATTTACTGCCTCAGAACTTTGATTTCCTCATCTGCCAAATGGGCAGATTACCAGCCTCATAGGATGGTTGTAAAGATTAAAGAGGACAATGTATGCATTGTTCCTACTAAGGAGCTGCACATATTGTCAATACTAATGACCTAAAGGCATAACTCATTGTTGAATTTAAGGGGAAAAGTTTTATGTGGACTGTATCATATATAGGCCGTCTGTTTCTAAATTAAGAGAGATGCAGAGAATTCAGGAGAAGCCCAGGAGAGAAAAGTGGGCACACTTACAGCAGGGAAAGTATTTCGCAGGGAGGAACATTACTGTACACTAAAGAAATGAAAGCTGCCCAGATCCTGAGCAGTGTGAGAAATGGTAAGAAAAAGGCGCAACAATTGCAGGAAGGGTTTGAGTTAAACTTACAGAAGACATTTCCTAGTGGCAAGAGGTATCAGATGTTTCTAGACCAAGAGTTTTTCTCTTGTTTGGTCAGCTATTCTTAGAGCCAGAAAGGTGGATGGGATGCCAGGAATCCAGCCCCATGTCTCTGGTTCTCAGTTCTGAGAATCGAAGACAACAGAGAGAACTGCATTTGGCACAGGGCCTCAGATGCGTCTGATATATTGAGCTGTTGTTATGCTGACAGGAAATGTTGAATGAAGGGCACAGCTAAGTTTGTCAGTACTCTTGGTCTTTCTCAGCAGGAGACAACAGGAATTGTTTCTCATTTGACCCTTAAAGCCAATGTGATTGAGGGAGGGTCATGTCCTAATGTCCCCTGGCCAACCGTATGGCCCTGGAGATCCATGAGCCCTCTCTGAGCCACAGCTTGAAAGAGTCGCCCTTTGACCAGAGGTTAGATGGGCCTATGCAGATGGCTTCCTGAATCTATGTAGGCATAAGCTTGGCACCTGGATTCTAGTTTTTCTTGGTATCAGAGTAGACCCCACCCTGAAGACTAGGAATGGATAGATACATCCCCAGGGTGAAGAGGCTCTCTGGAGCTCTCTACCTCCACAGTGAAAGGGACTGTCCTAACTAAAGAAACATTCATCTTTCTCTAGGCAGTTTTATGCAGTAGTCTTGGTAATTGCTGGTTCCTGTGTCTCCAGGAAAAGAAACTAAGCACCCTCCCTTGGGATCAGTGGCTCCCAAACAACCAGCTAGATTCTCCTTAAATTTTTGTGGAATCTCTCCTGCGCCACTGACCACATTTCATAACCTTCCTTTAGCTCCAGAATTCTTGTTCCTCAGCCAAGCCACCAGTCACCCTGACTCTTCTGCAAGCTTCCCATGCCCCTAAGAGTGCAGTTGAGGTGCCTTGGAGCCTCTTTATTCCCTCCCAGCTTCTCCCCCAGCTTGAGTCTGAGTTTATCAGTTGCCACCAAGGAAAGATGGAATCTCAAACAGGGAGAAGAGTGAAAACAGCACAGCAGCTCGCAAGGACAGAATACCTCTCTCCGTTAGCTCTTTGCCTTCAGATTTTTGTTTCTTTGGTTTGGGTAAAGGTAAGAAATACATTCTCAAATTGCCTGTTAAAAATAGGGACAAGTGGGATCTCCAGCTTTAGGCAGAGAGGCAACTTAGAGTAGCCACTCAGCACAAGTGCAGACTTCAAAACACAATGAGCTTATGACCTTGGGCAAGTCTTCTGACTTCATGAAGCCTTAGTTTCTTCTGTTTAAAAAATGGAGGTGGGACCCCAAAGTTTGTTGTGAGGATTAAAGATGCTGGTGCTGCAGACCAACCAGTCACAGTGCTTGGCCCTCACTGGATGCTTACCAAATACCAGTTACCTCTGACTTTCATGGTACCCTTTTGTTTTCTTTGAACTTGGTTTCTTTCACAGTTGCCTTTTCCCCCTTGAGATAGTTTTGTGGTTGTTAGTCCAAATCCTAAAAATATGATATTCCTATAGCTTTTTTTTTTTTTTCTGGTCACACTACTGTGTGTCATGGTGCCCAGAGCAAGCCTTTGTGTTAATCTGCTCCTCCCCATCCTCACTGCTTCCCTGATCCCTTGGGTTCATGCTGTCTACTATGGGTGAATTAAGTGTTCTTGGGGTCATAGGCTGACTCCTACGAACTTTGTCCCTGGGTGGAAGAGTGTGATGACTGAGATGGAACATTTTCTATAGCACAGCTCTGGAGAGACTCACCCACCTGGCATGAGCCTTCTTCCCTATGCCCAAGACTTTGTGGCCTTGACTGTTTCTGGTGACTCTGTGATGATGGGTGGGAGAAAGCTGCTTTAATGTCTGTTTCCTTGGTACTGAGAGTTGGATGGTGCTAGGGCTCTAGGTATAGATGATAACCAACTAACCGCTTAATAGATTAACCCTCAGTTGCCACTGTTCTCTGTATGTGTGTGTTATGACAGATGAAGACACCTACATAAAGGTAGTGTATAGGATAAATTGTTGCCTTCTTTTTTGATTTCTTCTCCCCATTTAACTCATTTATCCCACAAATATTTACTGAGTACCTGCTACGTGCCATGTATTGTATTATGCCAGTAGCGTAAATGCGTCAGTATGTGTTTCAGCCATTCTTCCTTTGACAAAAAGATAAAGCAGAAGGTAACTCTGTTTTCCCCAGTGGTTAATGGAGAAAAGCAGAGCATTTCTAGGACAGGAGCCTCCCTGGTCCATCCAGATGCCAGCAAATTCAGTCAGCTCCCTTAGGAAGCTCCACTTATACAGGATGGATTCCACCACTCAGTCCTCACTCCACCAGCACCAATTAAACTTGGATGAATGTCTGTTCTCACTCCAGGCATCTCTGAGTGCTCCCAGCTCCTGGCAGGTCTGCCCTCCCTCCACTTTCTGCCTATCTAACCGAGTCTAAGACCGTTCCACAACAGTCTAGGTCTAAGTCCTCAGCAGCTTATATTCATCTTTCACTCTTCTTTAGAGGCCTCTGTGGACAATCGAGCCTCCTCCAGCTTCATTTTTCCCTTGGGGTTCCTGGTTGGACAAGCCTTTCTTTCTTACCTATTTCTATAGTGCAGTACAAAGTGCATTGGGGGAGAGGCAAGGCTCAGGCAAGGTGGGTTCCATTCTATGTGGGTGTATCCAGACCAACATAGCTCTTCTGAGGGGAATGGCCTCATGATAGTGTCAGTCTATGGACTACCTGGCCTCTAAAACCTGAATGGAGTTCGTTGATTTCCACCTCCCTTGTGGCAACTGCAGCCTAGCTGAACTGTGGATCACCTCCTCTATCTTGGCTGCCATTTTCCTCCTCCTCCCATCTCACATGCAGGCAACACCCGCCACCTCAGCACCCTTCCATAGTCATTAGTGAGGAGGCAGAATGGCCCCCAGAAGCCTTTCTTTTGTCTCCCTTCATTCTCTCCATGTCTTTGCTAAGCCATTAATAATCTTCCCTGTGTGTCCCCTGTTTACGGAGCTTTGTGGCTTCACCCCAACTCCTTGTTGTCAAAGTCCCAAAAAGTAGGTTGCTTGTCCTGTGGCCCGTCTGTGCCTTTTCTTTCTTGCCTGTCCCTGTCTGAGGAGGAAGGACTGCTGCTGAGATGGCCTACCCTGGGGGCTACCACAGTGGCCCCTGGGATCCCAGATGCCAGAGATGGGACCTCTCACTGCTCAGACAGCTCTCCCTGCCCCAGGGGAAGGGAGCGTGCTTAGACTCAGAGATGCTGGGAGCTTCTCAACAGAACCTGCAGCTAGTCACACACATGTGCCAGAGGGACTGAGGACTCCAGCTTCCTATTGCACCTCTTAATAATACCCAAGTCCTGGGGTTGGTTTGAGCTGGAAGCACCCAGCAGGGGGAGTGGTGAGATGTCTCTATAGCCCAACAGCTTTGGCATACCTGGGCGGGAAACTCATGGGAGCTTTTTCTGTCCTGTTTCAGCCCGAGGAGTTGCAGAAAGAACACCCAGCTTCATGTATCCCCAGGGCACCTCAAGCAGTCAGATGGTGCTTCGTGGCATGGACCTCCTGTTGGAGTGCATCGCCTCTGGGGTGTATGTACAGTCTCGGCCTTCTAGACACCCTTTGGGAGGGTGGGTGGGCATTGATGCACATTCTGCTCTTGCCACGTTTGGAGGCACAGCACAGGAAAAGGGAAGCAAACAGCCCTGTAATGAGGACACTGCACATCATATTGTCCCTAGTCCATGCTGGCCATCTCTGCTTTGGGAAAGGAAAAAAAGGTGATGCCTAGGAATCTTGCAGGCACATGAGATCACTGGAATCTTAGCTCCATCCTTCTGTGGTGACTCTGTGACCAAGCAGCCTCCTCTGAATAGTAAAGTCCAGCTTATAGAGGGTCAGGTCCACTTTTAGAACATCTGGTGTGTCAGGCCCTCTAGAAGACAAGGGCCACATTCAGTGATGAGCCCTTTGTTTCCTGCTTGATCCCACTACTAGCCCAACACCAGACATCGCATGGTACAAGAAAGGTGGGGACCTCCCATCTGACAAAGCCAAGTTTGAGAACTTTAACAAGGCTCTGCGTATCACCAATGTCTCTGAAGAAGACTCAGGGGAGTATTTCTGCCTGGCCTCCAACAAGATGGGCAGCATCCGGCACACGATCTCGGTGAGAGTAAAGGGTACGTTGTGTGTATTTCTCATTATGATTATTTTGCCAGCCCTGAACACCAGAACACCATGACATCCTTCTCTCTGTGAGTGGGGAGGCAGAGGGAACGTGGGAACTTCCAGTGTACTGACTAATGGCTGTCATGATGGTGTCACCCCTGCACGTGTGGCCATGGGTACTGAGGGAAGGAGATTCACCTTGACCATCACCCAGCTCTCCTTGGTACCAGGCTCCCTCTGCAGGTGACGTTCCTCCAGAGCCTTTTTTTCTTTCATTTTGCATTCCTGTCTATGATGTGTTGTCTTAGCCTTGTGCTGTCTATGTCATGTGCATGGCTCTGTGCTTTTATTTAAGAATGGGAGTCATCGTGGACAAGTTATTTTTAAAGTCACTTCCCTCCCCTCAAAGCAGACAGCCTACCTGAGCTGTTGCAGCAATAGAGCACCTGTCTTTGTAGGTTCCAGCCATGTGATGGGCTATGAGAGTCACTTCTCAGCCTGGGGCTATGTGCATGACTGGGACAGTGATGTCTGAGGGCAGAGGAGTACAAGAACTTTCTCTGTACACCATTGACTAATCTTGTGGCCCTGCCTTCAGCAACACATACACACACACACACACATACACACACACACACACACACACACACACAAGTTGACTCCTGTTTGATGGATAGCAAGATCTTTGAGTCTCTAATCCAAAAGTTCCTTTCTCAAAAAAAAAAAAAAAAAGTTCCATGCCTAATAGAACAAAATTTAGGCCTTGCTAAATGCAACAGAACCCCAAGGGTGTCTTAAATACCCTTGGCCTCTCAGAGCATCAGCCACTCCTGAGGACTCAATGGAGTAGATCTAAGACCAACATCCTTGTGTTTTAAAAGCCCTTTGGGGGACTCTCATAGACAAGCCCTGTTCTGCAGGTTCAGCTAACTGGCCACCTGTAGGCTGGGCTGAGCCATCACTTGAGAGGGAAGGCCTGGGACTGGGACTTGGGCTCTGCCCTCACACAGGAGCCTACCTGGCTTCTCTTGCATGCTTCGTACCATCTAACTCCCCTGCTTTTCTACCTACCTTGTCTTCCAGCTGCTCCTTATTGGCTAGATGAGCCCAAGAACCTGATCCTGGCTCCAGGAGAGGATGGGAGGCTGGTGTGCCGGGCCAACGGGAACCCTAAACCCACTGTCCAGTGGATGGTGAATGGGGAACCTTTGCAATGTGAGTCAAACCACTGTCCCACCTGGCTGTCCCCTCTGTTCTACCAGAGGTTCTGTGGGTGGCCAATATGTCCCAAAAATAAAGGGAATGAGTGACCTACTGGGCTGTCTCCTCTGGCATCTCAGAGACAAGAAACCTGCCTTATTTTTCTACGAGGGAGAACAGGGCCTGGAGTGGCCTGGAGCCTGTGGCTGTGTCCCTGTGTTTAGGGATTTCTGCTCCTTAGGGGTTCTTTTAAACCTTTTCTTTCTGCCTGGTAGCTCTAGAGCCCAGGCTGAGCGCTGCAGCTTCATCTCGATTTGGACTTTGAGTGATGGGTGAGGTTTAGCCGGTAGAGAACTCTATTGTCATTAACCAATGATTAGTCACTCTCTAACAAAGACCAATTAAAAGGCAGAATTATGTGAAAGATTATAGTTGGACCAGGAATGGTGGCACACACCTTTAATCCCAGCACTTAGAAGGCAGAGGCAGCCTGGTCTACATAATGAGTTCCAGGCCAGCTGGGGCTCTAGGGAGACTGTCTCGAATATTATAGTTGGACAGAAGGAAGAACTTCCCCCAAGAGAGGTATACAGAGGCAGTTATTGACTTTGGGAATTTTCAGTCCTGTCCAAATGAATGGAATATTCAGAGGTTCCCAGGGCCCCTTAGAGCTGGTCATGTTGGTTTAGTTTTCTTTTTTAAAAAAATATTTTCCCTATTATTTTTATTTTATGTATATAAGCTATGTGTTGCCTGCATGTGTGCAAGTACACCTGTGTTGTGCAATGCCCGTGGAGGTCAGAGAGGGCATTGGATTTCCTAGAACTGGAGTTACAGGCAGTTGTTAGCTACCATGTGGGTGCTGGGATTCGAACCTGGGTCCTCTGTTCTCTACAAGAGCAGCCACTGCTCTTCACTGCTGAGCCATCTGTCCAGTCCCTGGTCTAGTTTTCACATATTCTGTCCGGTTGTATTTACTTTTTTGTTTTGTTTTGTTTTTTTTGGTGTTTTTGAGACAGGGTCTCCCTGTAATGGGGGCTGGCCTGGAACTCACTATGTAGACCAGGCTGGCCTTGAACTCACAGAGATCACCTGCCTCTGCCTCCCGAGAGCTGGGACTACAGGCATGCACCACCATGCCTGGCATATTTACTGTTTAAATGTCTAGTCATTACTTTCTTTAAGGAGTTGAGGAAATATAAGTAGTGCTATCAACCAATTGGGGAGGGGAAAAGTAAAATAGATGGAAGGAATTCAGGTGGTACCTTAAGAGCTACAGCTAGAGAGAAAGCTGCCCCAGGGTGACTCGGTGAAGAAGAGCTAGGATAAAGAAACATAGACCCTATTCTAAAGAGAGGAAGGAGAGCTGCAGAAATGCACAAAGCTGGTGCTAGGACAGTCAAGGAGTGTGGAGGAAGAGAAGACAGTGAAAAGAAGCAAAAGGCCAGACAGCCAGTTCTAGCCTCCCTGTCCCGGGAGGGGAATGGAGGAGCAGAAGACTGGTAGCACCAAACACAAGACAAGCCCACAGCCCTCACAAGCCTCAGGCCTAACTGAAGGGCTTATGGAGAAGTGACTTCATTGGCTGGAGGGTAGTGACCAGCTGCCGTCTTAGAAGGGAACATACTATTTCACATTGAGCTATCCTGGAGGCCTGAGAACAAGAACAGTCACAAGTCAGGGAAGCTGGATTCAGCCTGCCACAGACTCAGGGTAAGTGAGATGCATCCATAGGAGGGTCTGATGCTGATAAGCTGAAAAGTACAGGTGGCAGACAGCAAAGTATACACAGGGAAAGACAGCCCCCCTACCCTTGTTGGCTAGCAGTGGACCTCATCGACTGAGAAAACTGGAGTTTCACAGTCCTGAACATGGGTCAGTGGGCGGATCAACCTCTGGAGCTACCTGTCTGCCCTGAGGCTTAATGCTATACAGTCTGAGAACTCCAGTCTACACACAACCATTTCCTCACAGCAGGGAGAGGAGGATGTGGAAAGCGCCAAGGAGAGTCTACCTGTAGAGGTCTCAGTGCTGTGCTCCATCCTCCACTCTTAACATACTTGGGAGATGCTCCTACCTAGAACACTTTCCATACCAGCTACACAAACTGTGGAGTCTGAAGAGGGTGGAAGAACACACCCAGCCTACCGAACGCAAAGCTAAGTGTGCTGTGCAAAGAAAGGAAGCCACTAAAGTGAAGGCGACTCTGGCAGACATCCGACAGACTCTTGCTCTTGTCCAGTCACAGGCTGGGCACCAGCATAAATCATAGAAAGCACAAGGGTCCCCAAGATCAACTGATCCCATTCCCAAATCCATCCGGCAGACCAGTTTTCAAAGACCCAGAAAGAGGCTCCTCTAACAATTCATCTCTTGATCTTGTTTTCCCCTTGTTTTATTGTTTAAAAAAGTAATAATACTTTTAGTAGTATTTTTACTTCAGTTTATTTTGTAAAAAGCTTTTATGTTTTTAGTTTTTATTCTTACATTGATCTAATTTTGTTGTTCAGTTTTCATTATTAATATATTTTATTAGCCCTTTGTGCCCCCCCTTTCTTTTACTATCCTTTTTCTAATATTGACTTTATCTTATTTTTTCAAATAAAAGCTTTGTGTGTCTGTTCATGTGTGCCTGTGTGTAAAGGCCAGGGACATCCTTGAGTGTCATTGTCAAGAGCCCTCCACCTTTTTTTTTTTTTGAGACTTTGGCTTTTACTAGCCTGGAATTTGCCAAGTGGGCTAGGCTGGCCAAGAGCCCCAGGATCCACCTATCTCTACCTCCCCAGCTCACACTACTATGTCTGGTGTTTTTACCTGGATTCTGGGGGTCAAACTTAGATCCTTGTGTTTACACACAGCAAGCACCTTACCAACTGAGGCATCCCCTTCTTTCATTTATCTTACTTTGTTTATAGATTTTTTTCATCAGATAATCTTTTATTTATCAGCTCTCTAGTTCTTCCTCTTCCCCTTCACAGCTCTTTACCCCACTCATCTTTGTCATTTGTTTGACCTTGCTTTCCTGTATTTTCCCTTTGCCCTAGCCTCTTCCTTTATCTCATTCATTTACTGCTTTTGTATGTATCTTAAATAATTTTTAACTTTATAGCACTTTACTTTTACCATTTTCTGTTCAACAGTCATTGATGATGTGTTAGTGGGCTTTAATCAGTTTTAAGTATATTTCTCTTCTTGTTTGGCTTGGTGTTAGTTACTGTCACAGCTGGGTTTTTTTTGTTTTGTTTTGCTTTGTTTTGCTTTGTTTTGTTTTTTCTGTTTTCTGAATGATACTGGGATTGACTTCTCAAAAGTTCAATAGGAAGATACGCAAATAAAACTGGAGGTGATCAAAAACCAACAGACGTGTAAATCACAGGACACACAAGAAATATGAAAAGTGAAAAGGCAAGGCAGCTTGGCTCTTCCAGAGGATCATGACTCCTCAACTACTGAACACAGAGACGTTAAATGAGTAAGTGCCAGATGAAGAATTCATCTGTTTACTCATAAAAATGATCAGGAGTAAAGTAGGAATCAACCCAGGACATGGAGCTGAAAGCCAACAATCTAGATGAGAACATCAGCCTCATGGAAGAGCAGTTCAGTAAGGAAACTGAAATGGAGGGGGTCAAATAGAAATGCTGAAATGAAAAACTCAGTGAATCAAGCAAAATGCCCAGTGGGAATCCTCACCAGAGACTGTACCAAATAGAAGAAAAACTACCAGGGACTGAGGATGGGGTTGAGGAAATATAGTCCATAGTCAAACATCACTAAAAAAAATTTAATTAGCATGACCATAACCTCCAAGAACCCAAAGATGTAATCAAGAGACGAACCTAAGAGACCATGGGGCAAAAGAAGGAGCTGTGATTGAAAAACCACTAAAGGCATAGAATGTCTATTCAATGAAGTTCTAGCAGAAAACCTCCTGAATCTAGCTTTCAATATGGGCATCCAAGCACAACAGGCATTCAGAACCCCAAATAGCCATGACTAGAGAAGACCCTCTATAGGACAGAGTATAAGCAAGATGCCATAAGTCCAGAACAGACCTTATCAAAAGCTACAAGAGAAAACGTTAACTCACAAACACATCAGAATAACATCAGCTCTCAACACAAACCCTAAAATTATTGGAAAAGCATGAAATAATATTTTTCAAGTCCTAAAGGTAAGTTAATCTCCAACCAAAATTGCTATATCTAGCAAACTTTAATTTTAAAATTCATGGAGAGGAACTGGCAAGATGGCTCAGCAGGCAAAGGCATCTGCCATCAGTCCTAACAACTTGAATTTGATCCGTGGAACCCACATGGTAAAGGAGAGTACTGACTCCCACAGGTTGTCCTCTGACCTCACACATGTATGCCAGGACATACACATGCATGTATATACACACAAAAATAAATGTACTTTAAAAACAAAATAAAAATCATGGAGAAATAAGAACATTTCAAGACAAATACAAATTAAAGTAATTCATGACCATCAAGCCAGCACTGCAGAAAATACTTAAAGAAATTCTAAACACCAAAGTAGAAGAAAATATCAACCAAGACAGCACAGGGAAGAATATAGCTTTCTTGAGTAGACTAGGTGAATAAAGGAGAACTAAGAAAGAATCTATCATGTCCAACGCAGTAGCCTAGCAAACCCCTACTACAAATAGGGAGAGAAAAAGAACAAATAATCAAACTACCAGGAAAAACAACCAACCAAATTACAGGAATTAGCAAACCTCTCAGTAATAACTCTAAATGTAAATGGCCTTAACTCACCAGTAAAAAGACACAGACTCAACTGATTAGATTAAAAAACAAGACCCAGGGACTGGAGAGATGACTCGGCAGTTAAGAACACTGGCTGCTCTTACAGAGGATCCGGGTTTCATCCCAAGCACCACAGATGCAGCTAACAACCATCTGTAACTGCAGTTCCAGGGGAGTCCAACACCTTCTTCTGACTTTTGCGGACATTGCATGACTTACATACATGCAGGCAATACACTCATA